AATATTTAAATGTCTTCAATAAATATTTTAAAAAATTAATAATTTATATTTATTTGTGATTAAGCTACCTTTTTAAATAAAAGTGAACATAAAAAGATTAGACAGTTTTTTATTATAATGAACTAAAATGTTTCATATTTATTATTTTAGAAAAAAATTAATCATTAAGTCTTGGATAAAGGTACAAATTTAGCTCTTAACTATTTTTCAAAAGCACTAAGTAGCTTATAATACGAGGTGATGTGAAATAAAAAATAAAATTATTTAAATATCTTCAATAAATATTTTAGAAAATTAATAATTTATATTTATTTCTGATTAAGTTACCCTATTAAATAAGAGTGGACATAAAAAAATGAGACATACAGCTTTTTATTACATTGAACTAAAATGTTTCATATTTATTCACAAGGAAGGTGCTAATTTTCAGACTTATGAAACCTATGATGTCTAAATCTTTTCAATATTTTTGTCCTTGTTCTCAGTTTCAACTAAAAAAAAAAAGTTCAAAGAGTTCCCAATCACTTTATTTTTTATAAAAATAACTCATGACTGAATTGACGTGTTGAGACTCTTTGAGTTCTCAATGTCTTCATATAAGATCTCTTTTGAGCCCCTTTTGGATTGAGAAGAAAGACAAGAAGATTGAATAGATTGACACATGATGGGTCTTATAAATTTAAAAATAAATGACTTTTGGGTCAAAATTGATGGGTATGTTTTCGATATTATTTTTTATAGTTGATAATTTTTTTTCACCACCCAATAGTAGAGATTGCTTAGTTTTTTTTAAAAAATAGTTCGTAGCTAAATTTATACCTTTACCCAAGTCGAGATGAATTGCCATGTGTCATTTTTAGTTAAATTTTGTGGGCCCTACTTAACATCCATCGAGTGAATTTAACGGCTCATAATATAAACTACCTAGTATTCCTAGAAAAATAGTTAATGATTAAATTTGCTTATTTACCCTTTCATCTTTATAATTTTGTGAATTTTGACTTAAAAATCAGTGCAACTCAAATTTTAACTATTAAAAATATTAATTTTAATATTTTAAAAAAGTAAAATTATGTTATATTTTAAAACTTATAGGGATTAGGATATTATGAGTTAAAATTTAGAGATTAAATTATAATTGAGTTAAAATTATAAAGACTTAATTATATCAGGTTAAAATTTAAAACTTGAATTACAATCAAGCCAAAATTATAAAAAAAAACAGTTGATTAAGGGCCTATTTATTTTTTATGTTTAAAAACTATTTTTTTGTTTTTGAAAAAAATTTTAAAACTTATATAGATTAGTGTTTTTGATTTAAATATTTTCTAAACTTCTTTTATTTTTTGTTTTAAAAAAAATAGAAATATGTTCAAGTTGCTTTCCTTTTATTTTTTTAAATGCACTATATTTGATTATAGTTTCACGGACCAATTTTTATAAAAAAAATATCAATATTAACTGCTCATAATCATCATTATTGATCTATTTTTAAATTAGTGTAATCAAATAAATTTTATTTTAAAAAATAATTTTTAAAACTGTATCATAAAATAATTTTTAAAAATAAAAAGTGAAAATACATCTAAATGGTGAATTGGATGAGACCGAAGGTCTGAGGCTGACGTGGCAAAATAAGAAAATGTGGTCCCAGATTATGACGATAATTTGGATAAAAAAAGGTACAGGAGGATTAATGAGCTGTGACAGTGAGGAACGGCCGAACGGGGCAATGGGGGAAGGAGGAGTGAGGAGGGAAGTGTAGAGATTGTCGCTTTCGAGGTTGCTTGGAGGCTCTGTTGGAATTTCAACGTGACCCTGACCCCTCCTTCCATGGTGACGTGTTTGGCGTCCCTTTCACCCCCCCTTGGGGCCCCACCTCACATGGCTCCTCTATTCCCCGCGGGCCCCACCCCTCCCTGTCGTCTTTGCCGGTCCACACCTACTCCTTCCTACTCCTGCCACCCCTCTCCCCCTTTATTTCCAAAAGTCTCCCTCTCATGTTTCTCCTCTGAAACGCATCACAGACGTACACGTGTAGGGCCGATTTTCCGGATGAGAGACTGAGCATGTGCACCTCTGTAACCGTTACCAGAGTGAAGCTGGCATTGGGCAAAGCAAGCCGTACCCTCCCAAAATTTAAAAAACAACGAAAGCCGATTCGGATTTGCTTTTCCATAAAGCAAACGCTGCAGTTCTATGCCAGGTTCAGACACTCCCTGCTGCTTCTTCGCTCGTGGGGTTGTTTTTTTTTTTTAATTAATACAGAAAAGTTTTAAATTAATTTTAAACTTCCTCTTAAAGTTCAAGGAAGATTTTTATATTTCAGCCAAAAATTAATGATTCAATCGTGTATAAAAATTTAATTTCTGAATGTTGACTATAGTTTTAACTTTTGATTTAGTTAAAATATATTCTCTAAGATTTAACTTTTACAACTTAATTTTTATAATTTTATCTATTTAAAATATTGATCCTTTATTTTAAAAAATAAATCTATAAAGCAAAAATGATTGTCAAAGCCCTGGAATTGGTGTTTTAAATCACTAAAATTATTAGAAGCGAGTTGTACTATGTTAAAGCTTAAAAATTGAATTATTTAACTGAAATGTAATGAATTAAAATCTAAAAATTGTGTTGCAATCAGATTAAAAATATAGAGATTAAATGGTTAAATTATCTTTTATGGATTCATAAGCTGATGCTCTGTGGCGGAATACCTTTGCAGCACACCTAGTCTAGTATCGGGCACCTACTGTATAGAAAATGAAAATATTCCCTAGTAGTATTAATTTATACTCCTTAGGTATTAAATTATAATATAAAATTGCAAATATTAACAAAATTTAATAATAACATTTTATAAATTTACTTTTTAAAAATATAACTATAAATTTTTAAAAACACTTCTATACCCTTAATTATTATATTATAATATCATCTTAATTTTATATTCACTTAAAGGGTTATATTAAAAAAATATTATTAATAAAATTTAATCTTATTAAATTATTTTATATTTTGAGATACCAAAAATACTTTATAAATGACCTTATAATTTAAAACGAAAATAGTATTCATCTGATTTTATTTATAAGAAAGAGAGTGTGTGTTTGTTTTGATCTTATAAAGCATTTTAATGATTATTACGTTCTTTCTTACCTTTTTATACTTGTTAAATGTTAAAAATTTTATTAAATATTGAGGTATTTTATTTTAAAATAAGTATACTTAATAAGAGTAAAGCCAGAACAACAAAATTTAAATTTTTTTAATTTTGATTAAAAATATTGAAAATAATTTATACATAAAATCAGAGGAAATATGGGAATTAATGAAAGGAGATTTGTAGGAAGCAATGGGAAAGAGTGAGAATTTGAGTAGAATAGGGAAACGTAAGGGTGGAACACAATGAGACACGTATGATCCAATCATGTGGCGCGACTTTTCAAGTAGGGCCCAGGATCCCGGCCTCTTTCAGTGTTTTTACTCTTTAATCAACTTTTTTGTCCTTTTCTTTTCCCGCATCGGATTTGGTTAAAGCAAACATCAACTATTTTTAACCCTCTCTTTCTTTCCCTTTTCATTTCCTTTCCAAATCCCATTCTCTCGCTCCCCAACTTCACGCATCACTCTTCACTTTCCCCTTCTGTAAAATAAAATAATACTGTGCATTTACTCCTACCAGCCACGATTCCCATGCACTCTCATACACATTGCTCACGTAAATTACATTCTCCACGCCGCAAAAATTACCTTGATCCCTAACTTTTAAAATTTTATCACAAACCATCTCTGATCACTTCAGTAGAATTAAGAAAAGATCACAATTAAATGATTAATTTATTATAAAATAGATTAAATTTTTAATTTTACTAGTAAATTTTTCATATTTATTTACATTACATTATCTCTCATAATTAATAATCTTAAATGTGTAATATTAAAAAATATATAACATAAGGATCATCCATTTCTTCTAAAACTTACCTTATAATAGAATAACATAAGAATCAAATTTGTATTATTTATTAAAAAAAAGATTGAGGGCAAACAATAGACTCACCTTGATTATGTTGTTAATTATATGCCCAAAAGTTGGAACTCGAATCCTTAATCCTCACTCCTTTTTTTCAAGTAATTACAATACTTCACACTCATGCTGACTTGTCTTTTATTAGTTCAATAATTTAATATGACATTTATAAATGTTTTTATTTATGTACATTTTCTTCTTGGTAACTAACCCTAATTAAGATATAAGCTGCATTTTCCTATATCAGACTGACTCACGTCAGCATACATACATACATACATACATACATACATATATATATATGTGTGTGTACTACCTCCAAAGGTTTATTTAATTTTATTTATAAATTATGGTATAGTTTTTTAAATAATAATTAAAAAATATCTTTAAAATTACTTAACATCACTCTTGGAATGTTACATAGGACATATTAAAAATTTTACACCTATTATTTTTTATACTTTTTTATATTATTATTGATGAGTTGGTAGAAATAATTTATAAAAAAAACTGAATGAGTATATTGTATATTAATAAGTAAATTTAATTATTTTTTTTTATATATAACGTTTTTACGCAAGAAACGAAATGACAGGGATGCGTGTGTAAGAGGAAAGAAACAAAATTTTACTCTATATATATATATATATATAATGGAATATGGAATTGATTTTCCAGCATTAAATTTTTGCTTTGAGTGGAGAGGACGCCTTCATCGAGTTGGAAAATTATGTGAAGAATTCTTGGGTATTTTAAGAGAAGGTGGACCTGAAGGCCATAAGTACTATTTTGTCTTCTCTTACTTTCCTTCTGAAACATTCAAGACAAAACAGAAAGCGTAACACAACGTACTTGCCCTATGAACCTCCTAGATTCCTCTTGTCACGAAACGACATCGTTTTCTTCCTAATTCCAAACGTAAACAGACCGAAATAGATTTCATAATTACCATTTACCACCCTAATTATCATTAATTTATTATTATTATTATGATTATTCATATTACAGGTCCCTTCCTTTCCCGCACGACTTATTCGTCAGCGTTTCACACCAATTGCTTCACAGTCCACCCGTACGTGCGTTAGCCTTGCGACTGCGAGCTTCCTTGTTCCTGCTTCCCAGCTTTATACAGGTTTTTCATTTTTCAACTTCGATCATAAAAAATGAGAACCCCAAAAGCGAATGAATATTTCTACCTCCCTAGTTCTTTCCATTTTTCTACCACTTTCTTGAGCTCTCATCTATACTGATCTCTACCCAGTACTAGGCTTTCTTCAATTCTACTGTTTTTTTTTAGCTCCAGTGATCTGAACAGTACCACGGGAGGGTGGGTGCTTGTTCTTCGGAGAAGAAATTGCAGGCTTCTTCTGCGCTTAAGAAGTTGTGTTCTTCTATCTTCACATACTGACTCTGGTAAGTTTTCTGGAACTGAAAGCAGTTCATGGACGACGGCGACGACGGAGACATTAACAGGTGGTTGCCCTGAAGAGCTGCCGACGACGAAATGGCGGCGTTGGGGCTGTTGTCTTCGTTCAGGATTGCGCTAGAGTCGCTGTCGGAAGAACCGTCTTTGAAATGATCCACCGGTGATATGAGTGAAGCACCTCCCACTCCATTGAAGCACCCATAATTCAAGTCCTTGCACTCTGATTCAAGAATGGAGGTTTCCGCCGGTGGTGGGTTACTCTGTTCGACCTTTTTCTCGTCGGAATCTGATCCCTTTGTCTCTTCCTTCACTGAAATATCCCTCTCCGTGTACTCTTCTTTTAGTCTAGATTTCAATTCCTTAATCTGCAACAAACACACCACCATCCAAATTCAATCAGAAAAAGTAAAAACAATGACGAGTTCGTTCCTGTGAAAACCTTCAAATTTGAAGTTCTTTGTGGTGGTGGTGATGATGATCTCTTACCTCTTTGAGCAATGCTTCATTGTCCTGTTGGAGGGTGTCAAAGTTACGTCTGAGGTCTTCATAATTGGCTTTGAGAACGCCATAATCTCTCTCCAATTGCTTCGTCTTCCACCGAGCACGACGGTTTTGGAACCAGACCGCCACTTGTCGAGGCTGTAACCCAAGTTCTTGAGCAAGCTTCACCTTCCTCTCAGGCTCAAGCTTGTTCTCTACCTCGAAGTTCTTCTCTAAAGCCTTAACTTGATCCACGCTCAGACGCCGTTTCTTCTCCGACATCATCAGATGGGTTGATTCTTCCACACACCCTTCCTCGTCCAGTCCATCCAGCATCATGGGTTGGAACTCTCTACCATACACATGATTATTGTTGTTGTTTCTCGGACTGTGTTCGTCTGACAAATTCAATGCAAAATATAGTCAGCACAACAGTAATGGCCTCGCAATACCCAGAAAAGAAAATCAAAAAGTGAACATGAGAAATTCTAAATCAGGAAAAAGAACTGGACCGAATCAAGACATAATTGAATCATTATAAAAGCTTTGAAAACTTTCGTAGCGTGTGTGTGTGAGGGTGCGGCTGATCACGGAAAGTCGAGACAAGAAAACACAGACGAGTCTGTGAGTTTGTCTGCATCATACAACAAAGCAAATAAAAAAGATTAAAGAGGTTTCTTTAGACCTGTGGATGGACACATAGTCATCAAAGCACCCAAAGAATCGGAGCTTTCAAGTGATCTCTTCATGACTGGATGAGGGAAACAAAATTACAACTCTGCACAAAGATCTTAATAGATCGGGATGTTTTGATCCAGTAGTTACAGTCGCAGGTTAACGTATTGAAATTTGATCTGAAAAGATCTCAAGGGAAGATTTTCACTTAAAAGGAGCCATTGAAAATGAAAAGGAACACTCGTGTGTTAAACAGCACCAATCTGTATAACAGCTTAAAATCTCCGCAGACTCCATGGTGTCCCCTATCTGTGATTATTACTTCCTCTCCCTCTTCACCCATGAAAGTAAAAGAAGAAGAAGAAATCAGAATTTAGAATCCATGGAGTTAAAGAGAGCATCGAGGATGAAAAAACCAGAGAGAGAGAGAGAGTGCGCGCGTGCGTCTGTGAAGGAGGAGGAAGAAGATGGCGAAGCCGCTGGCGAGGTATGATCTGAGGAGCGTATAAATAAGACAAGAGAGGGTTGCGATGCAGGGTTAGAAACTGACTGGGGTTAGGGTCTGTGGGGTTTGGGAATGAAATGAACCCAAATTCATTCCAAATGCAACTTTTCTTGGGTTTTGGCACTGTACCGGTTCCAGCCTGTGAGCCTCCGGTTTTTCGACCGTTTCGTGAAGAAATCAACAAACAAAGATATTTCGTAAAACGGCTCGGCGATTTTTTCCTACGGCTCGGCTACGCGTAAGCTGACACAAGTCCTGCCTTTCTTTCGTCAGCGTAGCCTTCGTGTAAAATTTTTTGTTAATAATAAATTATTATTATTAGGATTAAATTTCTAATAATATAATTAAAATGATATTAATCATGTTATTTATATCTTATCTCAATCATTAAAATATTATATATTTAATAATTTTTTTAATCTAAATATTTTTTTAGGTCTAAAGGACTGGTGAAAAATATAAAAATATTATAGGGTGCAAAGTTACAAATTTATATATCTTACTCATAACTTTTCTCAATGTGAAGGCTGCATTTACACGTTGTCATTGTAGTGTGGCTCTACTATTGAAATAAATACAACATTAAGTCCCATTTGATTGTTAAAAATAAATGAATGAAATGAATTGAAAAAATTAAAATAAAAATAAATTAAATTATTCTTTCTTCTCATGATAATCATGATAAAATTCATTAATATATGTTGTAAATGTAAGAATCATCACACCCTTCAAAAATTTCATAAATAATAATTCTCAACCCATAAATTAATTAACCCTTTCCTTTATAAATATGGTTTATTTATCTTTTTCGATTATCTTATTTTAACCTTTAATTTTTCAATCCATTCTATTTCAATCTTTTCTAATAATCAAATGGGACCTAAGTTTTAATATTTTGATTGTTTTAATTTTAGTCCATATAATTTTATTTTATTATCTATAATCTCTTTAGTTTGATATATTTGCAATGTTAATCTCTATATTTTTAAAAACATATAAGGATCATGAATTGGCACTGGCGCTCAGGTAAAGTTAATTTCACTAACGTGTACTTGACTCTATCGGTTATTTTCTTGAAATGATAAAAATATATTGAAATAAAAATTTTTAGATCAAATTGAAAATAAAAGGTAAGGGTCAAAATTTTCTTTTATATTTTTTTTGGATAAAAGGCCACATAAGACTGTACAAGAGACTAATATCTAGTTATGTTTGTAGCCATAATTAACATTTAGGGGGCGGGTTATCAAATATACAAATATTAAAATGATGATAAGGCATTTTATGAGCAAGAAGATTGGTGCATTGGTTGGCTTTTTTATAGATATAGTCAAAAATAACCACCTAATTTCTCATAATGAAATCCCTAATATTTTTTATGATTGCAGAGAGAGGATGGTTATCGTAGCAAGTATTATTAATAAGTGACAGAGCCTGTATGAAATCTGAGAAAACATTGATTTTAGAGAGCTTCTCATTCCAATAGAGATTAAGGCCTTCTGAAATTTTCAAAAGTTTAGCTATTGTGTTGGGGTAGTACCCAAGGTTATTGAAAAATTTCTTAATCCAATTTCTTTTGTCGTCTCTAATAATGCCCCTACAAGAAGCAACCCCATTAGAATTGATTGAGCCATCAATGTCTAGTCTTACCTAATCAAGTTCAGGAAGGTTCCATTTAGCATCCAATCTGTTGCCTTTTTTGTTTAATTGGTTGATCTTGGATTGAAGCCTTAAGGAATTCTTCCTACTTATGGTTTTCCAAATATAACATGCTTGGGCAAAAAATCTTTGCTAAGGAATTCTTCTTGCAATTGAACTACCTGCTTCATTATTAGCGTTTCAAGTTATTCAATCTGCACCTTAAGAGAGAAAAATGTATTAAGTTTTGTAGGATTCACTAAACTTTTCTGTACCTCTTTAGCTTCCTTGCACCACACAACATATGAATAAAAGAGTCAGTAGAATTACAACCCATAGGCAAGATCGTTGTTACATAGCACTCCCATTAGTATTCTTGTAATTTGTTTATAGACAATTCCAAGCAGCTTTCTAGAAGAAATATTTAATTTTTTCATAGGTAGGCTATCTCCGAATCTTGGACCAGATATTAGAGTGATTTTGATCCTTTTTGGACTCTATAGCTTTATTGGCAAATTTAATAGAGAAGTTATCATCAGAGAAGGGTCTCTAAAAATGAAAAAAAGAACATCATTATCAACCTAATGGTTTGTAGGTTGTAGAAGTACAATCTGTCTAATGATATCAAAATGGAGATAGCACTTAAAAGATTAATATTCCAAGCTCCAGAGGTATTGCAGAAATCTAAGACTCTTGCATAAAGAATAGAGTCAGCATTATGAAAAGTATATCTAACAAGAGGGTCAGGAAGGGAGGGACCATTTATCATACCAAAATGATATTTGGTCACCTCTATCTACTTTTCAACTAACTTGAGACATAAATTTATTTCAAACTTTACATATGTTACTTTAGGCATAAGAACAAGAATTAGGTTTAACAATTATGGGGATAGTATTTATTACATAAGACTTACGCCCAGAGACAATTAGGTTTAATGATTAAGCCCCAGCAAAGTTTCACAATAAAGGCAATGTTATGATTCTTAAGTTTCTTGATGTTAAGACCTCGATCTTTTTTACCAGAGGTAATGTAATCCTAAGATAGAAAATGGAGTTTTTCGTTCCCATTTGAAAAATCCCAAAGGAAAGTTCTAGAAATTTTTCTCAAATCAGCCAAAACATTGTCCGATAGGAGCATAGTTTACATTGTATAGCTTGGAAGAGCAGAGAAGACAAATTTGATGAGCACAAATTTTCTTGCAATATTAAGATAATAGCTTTTTCAATTAGCTAAATGAGAGTTTGTCTTTTTGAGCATAGGAGCAAAGGTGAGCTCAAAATCCTTTTCTTGAATATAGGAAATTTCAAGGTATTTTTCAAGATTTAGTTTATATTTAGCTTAAACAAAATGTTGGAGATAAAGACAAACGCAACAAAGGCAGATAACATCTTTTATATCTATGTCTGATTTAGTCTATTGTGTGGCAAAGATTTTCAATAATAATGACTACTAACCTCAGAAATTAAAATTATAAGAATTAATATAACAAACGAATCAGCTTAAAGGATTAAGAATAACAAAATAAAATTATAAGGATAAAAACAAAATATAATCGAATAATAGGGACATATTGTTATATTTTTCCTTGAAGTTATGAACCTATTTGTATTTCAAGCCCAAAAAACAAATATTTTAATCAACCAAAGGAGATTTGGTTTAATAAAAAAGGCCCATAATACTAGCAATGTGACAAATTAAAATTCAAAATCTTTGTAAGCGGAGGTGCCCAGTTAATGTCAAATATTATAAACTTATATATGTTATGATTTTTATCTTCAACATTTAAAGGTTCTGTATTATATTGGGCATCTTGCTATAAAAAAAAATAACTATAATTGACAGTTGACATGGGGAATTATAGAAAAGAACCCACAAAATTACAAATAAAAAATTATAAAAAATTAATGCTAATTAAGTCCCTAATACAATGTAATAATGTATAAGTCTGCTTCTAAAATGTATATGTCCTCTTTTAAAAATTTATTGCTAGTGTAGAAAACATTTCATTTATGAGTAATATACACTAATTAAATTGTAAATTTTTCAATTTTTGAAGAATATGTAAATCTAAAAAATTAACTTGTAAATTGCTTGTGAAGATTTGTAAATAATAATAATATTTAAATTATTGTATATTAAATTGTTGACATTTTAATAAGATATTATTAAAACAAATATAATATTTTTTCATCACATAGTAGTTGGTTAAATTGGTTGATCAAAATCGTATTTTGACACTTTACATGGGATAAAAATAAAATTTTTATTATGATATTTATATGTAATTTAGACGACTTGATTAGTACTTCATTTACTTAAAATATAAGACATTTTTTTATGGATTGAATGTTCAAAAATATAAAATATTTTTAATATTTTAAGGTATAATTAATATACTTTGTTTCAAAAGTGACCATAATAAATAATCACTTTATATTTATTTATTTTAAGGTAAAATACCATATTGAATAAGAGTAAGTATGGAAAGATGTTGTTAGTTTGAAAATAAAAAATTACTTTATTGGGGTGAGATTTAATTAAAAATATCTTATATTTCTTTTAATGGATTGAGTATTAATTTTCTTAATTGGTACTTGTGTAATTTTTTGGATCTTTTTTCCATAATTATTGAGGTAATTTTCTATAATTTCTCAGCCAAATAACTGATTAAAATTAATTTTTTTAATGAAAAAGTATCCAATACACTATTTTTAAATGATAAAAAGAGAAATTGTATTATATGTAAGTTTATGATATCAGATGCTCATGAGTAAAAAGTTGAGAGACAAACATATATATATATATATATATATTATACTATATAAATTTTTGAATTTAACTCTTCATGACTAAATCCTAACTACCTCCTTGCTTAAAATGATACTTGCCCTGAACTGTGTTGAGTCATTTCATTTTGGGGATCTATGCCACGATAAAACATTTATACACGTTGTTTGTTCAAGAACACATCTTGGTTGTGTATAAACTTGATCTTTGTTGCCCATTAATTATCACAAAAAGGGATACTGGTTTAAAACTTTTAATAGAAAATCGATAATAATTTATGTTGGGAGGGCATTATTACAAAGGTTTGGATTCGATGAGTATGCCATGACTCACGTGATATTATATATATCGTCCATTCAATCAAACAGTTGTTAAAGATATTGGCACAAAAATAACGCCAAATCACGATTCTATTTTGTATTATATTTTATTCCTTTTATTTAAAAATATGAGATATTTTTAATAGAATTTTACTTCAAATAAAGTAGTTATCAACTTTTAAACTAATCCTATCTTTTTATATTTACCTCTATTAAATAATTTATAATAAATATAA